TTCCTTCACCGAAGTGGTTGACGACACAACAGCAAGATTGGCTTCTTTCGCTCGTTTCGTATAGTAGACTATGCATAGGAGTACCCACGGAGCGGTGAAAATACAGGATCTATTCCGACGAAATGCTCTTGATTTTAGGAGGACTATAATGATACGGACGACAGACCCACTCACGATCGACTAAAAGGAAAGTCGCCCGGAGATATTGGTTCAAATCCAATTCGTGAGAAAGCGAAAGCCGGTACCATTCCATCCGCTCCGTGACCATACCTATATCTTTTCCGAGCCCTTCTTTCATTTAAGGGACATGCTTCTCAGTACTGGTACTGAATGAATTTTTCTCAGTCCTAATCCTAATAAATACCACGTGATTAGCAAGGAGAATCATTCGAGTTCAGGCTCGACTCCCGAAGAAGTAGTTTGAGCCAGGCCTCGTCTTATGTTTTCAGGTTTGTTTTTGTTTTTCAGCATTGAGGGAGTCAGCTTCAGTCTGGCCCACGGATTGCGCCTATAACAAGTTCTCCAATGAGTTACGAGAAATCCTTCTATTCTGGGTGAAACCCTATTACCAGACAGAAGAGGAGGAAGCTACTACTACCCCTTTTTTTTTAGTGCCCGTCTGCTTTCTGCCTGAAGCTTTCAAGCAGAGGATGCCCACTAAACTGAAACTAATCCCGTGCTCGCCTTTTGAATCTTCAGTAGGGGAAGAGGACAACGTAGTAGGAACCCGAAAAAAAAGAGTTTTCAATTTACATCCGGGGAAGCATAAATGATAGATTCCCCAAGCCCAGTGAACCCGCACAATCATCTTTTCTGGATGGAAAGAAGGGCTCAGACCCGGTTCAATTCCTTTCCCTATTGGGCGAGAATCTTCAAACCTTTATTGCGGGAATACCCATAGCAAAGGAAGAAGGTAGTTTCATTGTTCTTGTAAGGGAAAATTCTTTCTTCGATCAGCGGCTCTCTTTAAGAGATAGGAATAGCCTACAAACAAAATAAAAAAAGAGGTAATGAATAACTCACTTTTGTTTTGAGTTCTGAAAAGAGGAAAGGAACGTAGTTCTGCAACGAAGAACGGAGTGGAATCCGTCCAGTGAGTAACTCGAGCAAAGGGAGTACGGCCAAACCCCCAATGCGGAAGTAGGGAGGAAGTCCGAAGAGGAATCAGAATTGGCATCTTGTTCAGAGAAACCAACAAAAGGGGAGAAGTTGGATCAGAAACTAAAACCATGCCAGCGCTACTGCTGTAGTGGGAGGCGAGGTCAACGGTAAGTGGACGAGAACCAGTAGAAAATTCCACAACATTCACATTAGGAATTGAAAGACCAGGGCTGCTAGTGAGTGCAATGGGGAAAGTTTTCTCTATTCATAGTAGGTACGACGACTCTAGCAGACCCTCTCTTAATTCGAATACGTAACATGATCTCCTTCAACCCAACGAACGAAGCGAAGTGAAGTCATAGAAAGAAGAGCGATTCGAAAACTCCGTGCCCACTCGTCGTAATTTACGTCGCCCTTAAGCAATACTTGGGTGATTAGATTGCCCGGATTGTCAGAAGACGTAATATCGTACGGGGAGATGGTTTTTCGGACCACCATCGCACCACTCGACCACTGGTGTCGGAATCAGCCATGAAGAAGCCGCAATCACAAGACCGCAGTCACAATTTAAAGGCAAATCTGAATTAAGACTGCTAAGTTGCTGTGGAGTTGCAAATCTGAATTAAATGGCAAATCTGAACGTGGCCAAATCACAATTAAAACAAAGCCATAATAAAGCCGCAGTCACCACCAATTGAAGTTGCAAATCACAATTGAATTGCTGAATTAAAAAAAAACAATTCAGCAATTGAGTAATTGAGCAAATCTGAAATTTTGCTCTTGAGACTCTTGAGCAGACGGAACGAAGGCCTTTGGCTCAATTGACCAGCAGCCTGGGCGGGAACGAATATAATACGGCCGGACGTGGACGGGATGAGACCGAAAAAAAATAGCAATCGATCGTGAAGATGTGATCAGATTGGACAGAGATCGGAAAAATTTGATGGCTCTGATACCTTTATGACTGAACTTCGCTTCGTTCTTATGGTCGACTCAATTGCATCTTTCCTACTTCGTCCCCTATCTTTAATCTTAAGTAAAGTGAAGTAAAAGCAATGAAAGCCCAACCTCTTTGTTTGAAGCTTTGCCAGGCATATTTATATGTTGAAGCTTTGTTTCCCCTAATTCTGAAACACAACAATCAATAGACTTTTTATATACTATAGGAAAAAGCTTCTCTTTGATAGCGGTCATAGGGGAGTTCAGAAAGATCTGATCGTAGATAGAGACTTAAACGTGTGCGGGGGTAAGGGCGGATGTAGCCAAGTGGATCAAGGCAGTGGATTGTGAATCCACCACGCGCGGGTTCAATCCCCGTCGTTCGCCCATCAACAAATGGACCATTTGTTGAGGTTCAAATTCGATTTTTTTTCTCACTCGTCCTTCACTTCGCTCCGCTTCGTTCGTTGCCATCTGGATTCTTTCTTTTTGAATCTGTCGCAAAGGTTGAGTTCTCTCAATCGCTTGAGCTGGTCTACCAGCCCTTGCCGCTCGCATTTGTCCCTTCAAGTCTCTCATCTGTCGATAGGGGAGAACTAATTCAGTGTATAAGACGCAAATACTCTTTTTTTTAGTATCCCCCTGTTAAGGAAAGCATTCGTCGTACTGGAAGAGCTAGGCTAGCACCGGACTTAGTTCCATTAGCCCGGAGTCTTTTACTATTTAAGTATGCGGCTTAATCCTTAATTAAAAGCCAACCTAAGACTGCTTTACCAATCCTGCAAAGAGAACAACCCCTGTGGGAAAGAAGTGAAGGTCCCCCCTACGAACTTTTCGAAGCGAAGCGAAGTCATAAAGCGCCATGTTGAGGGCTGGAAGTACTTGTTAAAGAAGAGGTTGTTTTGGCCTAGCATTGAGTTGAGGAATAGCTGAACAATCAGTTAAGGACTAGGCGTAGGAAGAGTAAACAGAAGGTCCCGAATGCTTACTGGTTTGCTTTCCTCATAAAAGAAGTACAGTCTCGGTTGATCTTGTTGACTAACATGCTTTCCTTCTTTCTTTCAGGCTTGGCCAGATTACTTTGATCTCTTGAAAGGTAGCTCTAGCCGTTGCGTCAAGGTGTATAGATTATACAGCGATATAGCACGTTTCCAGTATTCAGACGCTCGATGTAATTGACCTCTGCTATTTCCGAATCTCCCTGTCGAATGTTCTCCTCGGTCTACATAGGTAGTTCAATTCCTTCCCCGTACGTGAGATTTGCATCTCATACAGCTCCACCCAACGAACTTTTCGAAGCGAAGTGAAGGAAAAGAGAGGGCTATTAACATAGCGCCTTCTTTCTTTGAGTCACTCGCTCCGGGGAGATCCTCTTTGGTAGGGATGGGACTAAAGAGCTCTAACAGAAGAGCGGCAACAGCTTATCCGAAAAAACCTGTTCTCTTATCGAAAAACGTCTCGCTTTGAACATTCTCCTTTATCGGGTTCCTAGCCCAACCAAGGGTTAACGAGAAAATACATTCTTCCTAGTCAAAGCTAGCTAAGGGAATAGCACCATCTTCTCTCTTTCATGACTTTCTTGTTGATTGATCCCCTCGGGGGAAGTAGCAACATTATCTAATCGACTATTGAACCATCTCACCTTCAAGTCACTCGCTACCTACCGCGTAGTGGGGGCATGCCTTTACTCCACAACAGCTAACTCAATGGGACTTGCTTTCCTTGACTTAACTTTCAAATTGACAAGAAGGATCAATCTTCCAAATCTAACTGGGGGCTAATATTTGATCGGGGTCTTCCCCATCAGCCAATACTCAAACTAATGCTACTGCTGCTTACTAGACAAAGGTTGGCGGCACCTGCCCCTGTTTATCATTCCTCTGCTTCTGATTCCTCTCCTTTTAGTCGACCATATTAAATAACCTTTCCTTCACTTCGCTTCGAAAAGTTTTTTAGAGACTAACTTTGCTCTCCTTGGTTTGCGGCGAATAGATTGTCGATATTTAGCCAATAGCAGTAGGAGTATGGATGGCATATGCCCTTGGTGTTTTTGTTTCGTTCATAGGAGATGTGGCATAGAAAGAAAGAATTCGGTAGGGCTTGGTTGACGAAGAAAGGGTGTATAGTATAGTTTGTCTTTCCCACTCATTGGCTGCTCGTCCTAACGTACTCGATCTGTTATTAACATATTCGAGTAGATTGATGCTTTATTTTGGTTCAATCCAGTGGTAAGATATAGCTACAAGAAGACTCCAGTGTTCAAGGTAGAGATAAAGCAATTCCTACTCCTATACACGTGCTTAGGCCACTTCAATTGGTCTGAGAAGGGTTGCCGCTGGTAAGACCGGGGATGGCGATTCTATAGAAAGATGCTTTTCCGCGTCCTCGTTAGTCCATTAAGGGGGAGGAGTAGACGAGAAGGTTCAAGTCTCATCCACTTGCGCAAATAGCTACAGCATGCATTTTCGGAGGGAAATTCTATACTATACTATATAGGGGTCCCCAACGGCTCACCGATAGGCGAACCATATTAGGACTACAACATGTGAGACTGTGAACTACGACATGTCAGACTGAACTACATGAATTGGTAGCCTCCACCCCTTGACTATGTTTTTTATCCCTACGAGAGAGAACATATGATATCTGAACTACTATGCAACTAGGGTAACTACTAGTTATTTCCATCTACCTCCGACCAATCCTAAACTCCCTTTGGCTGGCTAACCAATTAACCGAAAGCAAAACTAGCTCACTGGGAAGGCATCAAAGATCAAAGCAAAGGAATAAGAAGTCCCACAATAGACAAGAGCGCATTCGTAACAACACGAACAGGAATTACATGATTCTAACTTCATAATCAATAATCCTAGGGTAAGTAAAGAGTTCTATAGTCTAATTGCATCTGCTAACATCGTACCGGAGCATTAAAGCAACTCTATCTCTACATGGCAGAATTTTTGTTTTGTGTTGTTATGTGAGGGCAAACCCAGGTTCGATGTAATTGACGAGCAGACACTACTAGATTTTTTTCGTTTTCCCGTCTTTTTTCAATGAAATGAAATCCGCTTTTTCGTCTTATTTTGTTTGCACGGGATTCGAAAAACAATGGTTTGTTCCAGCGCTAGTTTAATAGTTCATTGTTAGCTTGTAAGTTTCACTTCAATGAAATGAAATTCACTTATGTAAGTAAGATGAAAAGAAAGGAGAAGAAGCTAGTTTACTACGTTAGCCCCAAGACGTTGATCTCTAACTAGAAAAGCCAAAGCTTGAGCTTGAGTGAGAAGGGCCTCCTCCCCCCGCGGATATTTTGCCTGTATGGTGTTTACCGGGTGGAACCCTCGATCCGGAAGGTATGTAACTTAAATATACTATCTATCTATGTCTGCCTTCCTTGAAAGCTCCCGGTGCTGCGACTATCACCGGTAAGTTGCGTCGGATCAACATCGGGATTAGAATCAACTGCAAAACTAAGTCAAAGCCTATTTGCTCTGGATCTACTGGCCCGGACGCTTGAATCTATTCCACCGCAAACAACCGAATATACTACTGCAGGCAATTACTATTTCTTCTGTTGTTATTGCTCTCACCTGTCACTACGCCATCTCAGCAGCTAGGACTGGAA